CTTCAAATCATTGTCGTCTTTGGCAAAGAGATTGAAATGAACCATGTAGAATAGGTTATTGAATAATTTCTTTTTTTATTTTTTACTCATAGCTATTATTGTTTAACCTCATGTGTAAGGGAGATTAAGGACAAACAAAACAAAAAGGTTGACAGGGAAGCATCTTGAAAAATTCCTCGTCGGATATTCAGGGGGTTGGAGATGGCAGGGCCTTTTGTTTGATTTAGGTATAATGTGGTTTTCCTTCATTTCTATGCAGTTTTAAAAGGAATTTACTCTCACCGAGGAAACTTTGTACACTTCTAAAGTCTTAAGAATCCAAGAGTGTGGTACATTATCAAATACTTTTCGGTAATCTATCCATGCTGGGCTATCCTGAAATTTTCCAGGATTATTTTGTTTATCAGTAGCTGATCTTTAAAACCGAACGAACCTCTCCAGCATCCCTTCGGTTCCAGTGGAAGAATATTGTTTGCAAGTAAGTACAGTTCTTCAGGACAGACGTGATCAATTTACCCGTGGTGGACACACATGTTATTGGCCTATAATTTTTCGGATCATCTGTTTCACTCGTCTTTGACATGAGGTATATTTTTTAAGCATTTCATCCTAAGCAAGGCGGGAGTGCCACTAGCACGCAAGAGTAAGGAGGTGCGTTTGGGGAAAGGATAAAGAGAAGGAGGGGGATCAAAATCAAAGCATTAGAAGATGTCGATTGACATTACATATAAAATTTTGAAGATTATGGTTATTCATAGTGTACTGAGATTTCTACCTCTTTTCCTGCAATTCGCAAGGATTATTTTGTTTATCAATAATTGATACGTGCAACCATATTAATGTTTTCGACAGCCCTTCTGTTCTTGGGGAAAAATGTTGTTTCCATGTACGGTTCGTCAGTACAGACGTGATCAATTTATACGTGGCGGGCAGACATGTTATTGGCCTATAATTTTTCGGCTCATCTGCTTCACCCGTTTTTTGGCAGGAGATATATAATACCATCAGTGATCCATTCTAGGTCTACATTGAAATTATAAATAAGCATTCAGTGATCCATTCCGGGATTTCATTGGGTTTATTTGTAGATTGATAGAGTTTGGGCAAGTGTTTTATGAATTGATGACAGAGCCAAGAATCGGGTACCTTCTATTTCCTAGGGATTTTTATTTGGGGGATTTCATTAGAGCTTGCCTAACATTATTCGGGGTTATGTTTTACCATTCATGTGCAGGTTTATCCCTCAATCGTCCTTCTTCTCATCGGATCCATTCTGATAGGAGGTAGGAAGATTTCTCTATGAGAGCAGTTTCGTTTTGGAGGCATTATTTACAACCTATTTCCTGCCCCAGTCAACCACAAACTGGAGATCTTTACGAGACCAACGGCCAGGTTAATTTTGTCAGCAATGCCGGATTTCAGACAGGAGTAAATGGTAGTGTCGTCTGCGTAGATGCCTACTTGAGAACTGATGACATCAAGAAGATCTTTGATGAAGATCAGAAACAGTGTAGGACCCAGTATAGAACCTTGGAATAACTTCAGTGATCTAGTCCGGGATTTCATTGGTATTATTTATAAGCATTGATAGAGTTTGTGCAAGGGTTTTATGAATTGATGACAGATGACAATATTTGGGCACATTGTCATTTCCTGGGGATTTCCATTTTAGGGATTTCGTTAGAGCTTGCCTAAAATTCTTCGGGGTTATATTTTCCTATTCTTGGAGAGATTTATCCAGCATTCATTCTTCTTCACGTTGGATCCATTCTGCATTGGGATTATATTCCTTTGGACTGCTTAACTTATTCTCCCAAAATTTGTGCACCATGTCAATAGATTGTGGCTTTTGACATGTACAGCTGCAATTTCCCTGTAAATTTTGTTAAGGTCCTTTTGGAATATTTTATTTTGGCGATAGAACCTACAACGTTTTTTCGTATCATCTTGTTCTCTGTGCCTTTAACTGAATCTTCTGTTTCAGCATTTCTTTGATTGATGGAATTTCATTTAGTGATTTAATTTTATAGTTCTGCTTGATCTTCTTGCACTTGCTTGTTGAGATATTTGAGTTTCTAGTGAACTCATCTAATATCGAAATCTCGCATCAGTTTTGACTTCCAAGTTGTCTCTCTTTGCATGTTGTTTAATCTTTTCATTTGTCGTAAACCCCAAGCTTCCTAGTAGCTGCTAAAGTTGTTGAGTATATGACATTGTTAACTTATGTTGTATTTCCCGGATGTTTGTCCGTTAACAGTGTTTCCAGTGCTACGTTGTATATTTTCACAATGTCCTGCTTGAACTTTGTCATATGAATTTTTGGGAGTTGGTCTCTGTTTGACATTTGTGTGAGAATTACTCTTCTGAGTTCTTGGATGACATGGTTTTTCGCTTCGGTGATTTCACCTTTGTTGTTTTCAAGCAATTCTACCTTAATGTATTTGGACTCATCTTCAGAGACATCGTCTGGATAACTGCAGGTTATATCAGATGTAGATTATTTGCTTTTAATTTTGTTTTCCACGTTGGCTCTTTTTGTCTTTTCTTCGATCTTTTTATTGTCTTGATTCACATTAGTTGCTAAATCTGTTGCGTATATGACATTATTACATCGGTGATTTTTCCCACTTGTTTTTGCGTTATGTGTTTTGCAGCTCAGCGTTGTATATTTACACAATTTGTTTATTTGACGTTGTCATATGAATTCTTTGGAGCTTTTCTCTGAGATTTGTGTGACAGTTACTCTGCTGAGTACTTGGATGATGTTGTTTTTCTCTTCGGGAATTTCACCTTTGTTGTTTTCAAGGAATTCTTCTCTTATGTAGTTTTGACTTATCTTCAATGACACAATTTAGATAATTGCAATTTAGATTCTACGAATTTATTTCCTGTGATAATATTATTTCGAATCACATTTAATTTAGTTTTTACCTTGTACTCTGCCATACTATTATTATACATTAAATACATTATACATATTTCTACTATTTACATTATTCGGACTATTGTCCTCATCTTTGTCGCCATATTTATTACAACGTTTCGGCTGTTGTACGCCCCAGCCCTCTTCAGGTGGTTGGAATGTCAGTTATCAGTTATCTCCTGTTAATTTCCCTCTCTAAGTTATCCACCGCTTTAACCGGGTATTGAACTCACGCTCTTTGGGTCCTGTCACTGGATCTAACCAGCGCCTTTATCCCCTGCGCCATGTGTCCTTGATGATAGCTGATAACTGACATCCATTAAAACATGGCACGTGGAACTAGAACAGTCTACCCCAGTGAGCGAAATAAAGGGTTCAGTTCGACATTCCAACCACCTGATGAAAGCCGGAGCGTACAACGGCCGAAACGTTGGCGACAAAGATGAGGACAATAGTCCGAATAATGTAAATAAAATACATAATACCTCATCTCAGAAATATAGACAGATATTTCTACTGTCATGTATTTATTGTTTGATTGCTGTGTTATTGTATTCTGTTTTATATTTAGTTTTATCTAATCTATTTCTGCATTTGAGAGTCTTTTGTTTCGCACGATGTCCCTGCAGACATTAGCAAGCATGTTTGGGTTGAAATGGGGGTCTTATCCTAGATCCTCGCATATTTCTCCATATTTGGTATGTCTGATCCGTAATGTTCTTTTGTGGATTTTCGAGTGCTGTGAAAATATATGTCTTGGCGAGTCCATTTCGTTCGCTTTCATTTTATAAGTTGATTTGGCATTGAGTCGCTTGGCCCAAGATTGGAAATAGTCCGGATGTTTCTTCACTGTTGTAAGAGTTTGTTCCAGTGACAGATTTTTCGACCACAGACTGGTTCTTCTCTTTGGTAAACCGCACTTGTTGGCCCAGGCGACGTCCGATTATTATTATTCTTTTTATTTTCTTTGATTTCTGGCGTTTACACATTTCTTTCCGGGTCCCGCCCAGGGACCTAAGGTTAGAAATGGCGTCATGACACTTTCCACTGACAAAAAAAAAAAAAAAACATTAGATAAAGCCCTTCGTAAGGTGGGGCTGTACGTGTCAGAACAATTTTCTGTATCTCCTTCAGGCATGGACTTCCAGGAATCCTTCAATTAGTCTAGTGGAATCTTTTCCAACCAGTCCTAGGGCTCCAACTACAACAGGGATTGTTGATGTTCCCATATGCCACATTTTCGCGATTTCTATTTCAAGGTCCTTGTATTATTATTATTATTATTATTATATTGTCCTTCTTCACCGTCTTCTTCTTGGCTACCTTCGTCTTTTCCTACATCCTCTTTTAGTTCTCACTATTATTATTATTATTAATATTATTATTATAATTATTATATTGTCCTTCTTCACCGTCTTCTTCTTGGCTACCTTCGTCTTTTTCCTACATCCCTTTTTAGTTCTCACTATTATTATTATTATTAATATTATTATTATAATTATTATATTGTCCTTCTTCACCGTCTTCTTCTTGGCTACCTTCGTCTTTTCCTACATCCCCTTTTAGTTCTCACTATTATTATTATTATTAATATTATTATTATAATTATTATATTGTCCTTCTTCACCGTCTTCTTCTTGGCTACCTTCGTCTTTTCCTACATCCCCTTTTAGTTCTCACTATTATTATTATTATTATTATTATTATTATTATATTGTCCTTCTTCACCGTCTTCTTCTTGGCTACCTTCGTCTTTTCATACATCCCTTTTAGTTCTCACTATTATTATTATTATTAATATTATTATTATAATTATTATATTGTCCTTCTTCACCGTCTTCTTCTTGGCTACCTTCGTCTTTTTCCTACATCCCCTTTTAGTTCTCACTATTATTATTATTATTATTATTATTATTATTATTATTATTATTTTCCTTCTTCGCCCTCTTCTTTTCCCCATTCTTCTTGGCTACCTCCGTCTTCTCCTTCTACATCTCCTTTTAATTTTCACTATTATTATTATTATTATTATTATTGTCCTTTTCGCCGCCTTCTTCCTTGGCTACCTTCGACTTCTATGTCTCCTTTTTCTTCTCATTATTATTGTCCTTCTCAGCCGCCTTCTTCTTGGCTACATTCGTCTTCTTCTTCTACGTCTCCTTTTTTTCTCACTGTTATTATTATTAATAATACTGTCCTTCTTCGTCGCCTTCTTTCTTATCTACCTTCGTCTTCCCATTCTACGTTTCCATTTTCTTCTCACTATCATTATTATTATTATTGTTATTATTATTATAATTATTGTCTTCCTTCGTCTTCTCCTTCTCCTTCTTCTTCTTCTTCTTCTTCTTCTTATTATTATTATTATTATTATTATTATTATTGTCCTTCTTCGCCCTCTTCTTCTTGGCTACCTTCGTCTTCTCCTTCTTCTTTTTCTTCTTCTTCTTCTTCTTCTTCTTCTTCTTATTATTATTATTATTATTGTCCTTCTTCGCCCTCTTCTTCTTGGCTACCTTCGTCTTCTCCTTCTTCTTTTCTTCTTCTTCTTCTTCTTCTTCTTCTTCTTCTTCTTCTTCTTATTATTATTATTATTATTATTATCGTCCTACTTCGCCATCTTCTTCTTGGCTACCTTTGTCTTCTTCTTCGACATATTCTTTTTCTTCTCACTTTTTATATTGCAATAACAGTCATAAATATGAATGATGGTTTTTAATTAAAGAAGTAAATGTGGACAAAGGAATTCGACATCTTTTACAATTTCGCTGAAACGGGCCTTAAATACTTCTATCTTCCCCTCTTTTGATCATTTTTTTGTTGAAACCAAGTAGCGTTTCCGATGTATTCTAACTTAGCTTTCTTTCATTCTTTGTTTCTTTTTTCATTCTTTCTTCCTTTCTTTTTTCACTGAAACCAAATAGCGTCCTCTTTTTGTCTATTCACCTGATCAAAACGGAATACTCCAGTATCTATTAAGTAGGGACAAGCACAATAATAATAATAATAATAATAATAATAATAATGGGGCAATACTTACACTGGACAATGTGCAAACACTTTGGAAAATGTGTAAGCAAACACTGGTATGAACATCGGCCAGCGCCGGTTACAGAAATAGAAGATGTCACCATTCTATGGGATTATACCATCCACACAGACAGAAAAATTGAAGCAAATAGGCCGGACATCATTGTCAAAAACCAGAAAGAAAAAACTTGCCTACTAATTGATATGGCTTGTCCAGCGGATTGTAACATAGCAACCAAGGAATTTGAAAAACTATCAAAATACAAAGACCTGGAAATTGAAATAGAAAAAATGTGGAAATTGAAAACAAGAATAATACCAGTGGTAATAGGTGCACTTGGAATTATAAAAATGGAACAAAACAACACATTGAAAGAATCCCTGAAACCCCAGCTTAAGAGACATACAGAAAATTGTCTTATTAAGTACACAGCACACACTAAGGAGAACTTTGTCTATGTAACGCTAGCAACTTCAACGGAGATAAAAAAAAAAAAAAAAAAAAAAAATTAACATGAAATGTGGCCATAACAACACACCACGACCTGCCTTAGGTCTTTCCGCAGACTTGGTAGGTAGTGTGTCCATAACAGAAATCGAATGATGATAATAATAATAATAATAATAATAATAATAAGAATTTTTCACAGGAATTTTCAGGCAAATATCATACATAATAATGTGGATCCAAAATGCAGGTTCTGTGACAAATACCAAGAAACAATAGACCATCTAATCTCAGGATGTTCTATACTTGCCCCAAATGAATATAAAAATCGTCACGATAGAAATACTTACACTGGACAATGTGCAAACACTTTGGAAAATGTGTAAGCAAACACTGGTATGAACATCGGCCAGCGCCGGTTACAGAAATAGAAGATGTCACCATTCTATGGGATTATACCATCCACACAGACAGAAAAATTGAAGCAAATAGGCCGGACATTATTGTCAAAAACCAGAAAGAAAAAACTTGCCTACTAATTGATATGGCTTTGTCCAGCGGATTGTAACATAGCAACCAAGGAATTTGAAAAACTATCAAAATACAAAGACCTGGAAATTGAAATAGAAAAAATGTGGAAATTGAAAACAAGAATAATACCAGTGGTAATAGGTGCACTTGGAATTATAAAAAATGGAACAAAACAACACATTGAAAGAATCCTGAAACCCCAGCTTAAGAGACATACAGAAAATTGTCTTATTAAGTACAGCACACACACTAAGGAGAACTTTGTCTATGTAACGCTAGCAACTTCATCGGGGATAAAAAAAAAAAAAAAAAAAATTAACATGAAATGTGGCCATAACAACACACCACGACCTGCCTTAGGTCTTTCCGCAGACTTGGTAGGTAGTGTGTCCATAGCAGAAATAATAATAATAATAATAATAATAATAATAATAATAATAATAATAAATTTACCATTGTGTTCATGAACATCTTCCTGTTTTTTTTATTTTTATTTTTATTATTTACATAAATGTTATTTTCACCAGTTCTTTCCAAAATGCTGCATTCTTTTGTTTCCATTTTTTTTCTCTTCAAAACATTTACGATGCATTATTCCCAATTTAGTCACTGACCTATTCCGTCCAAAACCTGTTATTGTTCTGGTCAAATAAAATCTATTATCACTTTACAATGGAAACACATTATTTCAATTTTTTCTTTTAGCTTTCAATTTAACATCCTAATTGTTCTCCACCTTTTTCTCTTAGTAATTTCCAAAAATAAACATAATTGCTTTCACTTTTACAATCATTTGTTTCAATTCAACTTCATTTTTTTTTCTTTTTTTCTTTTCGTTTTCTTTGTAATTTTTTTTTTTTTTTTTTGAAGTTGCCGTTTTATTCCTACCCACAAATCCGCACTTTCTACGGATTTAAGGCTAAAAATAAAGCCATACCGGATTTTTTTTTCTTTTTGTCTGAATGTTGCAAGAGAATTGATATAAATGAAATTGTTTCACAAACATTTTTTTGCAAGTGATAATTTTCTTTTTATTTGAAAAATAATTAGCGCTATTTTTCTTATTATCTTTGAAAAATACTTCAGACAAAATATATGTATTATCTTAATTGCTATACCTTTCGAACTCTGCCTCTCACATCATATCTGTCTCTCTTCTTCTATTTTAAAACTTTTATCTAAGCTTAAATTAATATTTTAGATATCTTGTTCTTTTTCAAACTAATATATATATATATATATATATATATATATATATATATATATATATATATATATATATATATATATATGGGGTGTTTGTATGATTATACAGGGTATGAGAAAAATAGTTATATAGTAATGAAATGTAAAACATCCGCACAAAAGGTATTGTATAGATTATATAAAAATATCAATAATAACTTATCAAGGCTAAATATATCATTCGAAAGAATTCTAGAAAGAAAATTCGGATTGCCAACACACAAACAGAATGTCTCATATCGAGAATATTCCACATTGAACATGAAGAAAAATTAATTATTTTTTAATAATATGTAAAAATCCACTTTCACCTGAAGACGGTTTGCGAGACCAGACCAGAAACACGTGTCGTGAAATTATGTAAAACAAAGTATAATATTTTTTCTCAATAAATCCACATTACAACCAAAAACGTTTGCGGCACCCCTCTTCTTTTTAATATATATATATATATATGAAGAAAAATATATTGAAAAAAAATCCTAATATGCAATTGTGACGACGACGTGATCATATTTAAACAGAACGCTGATCTTATAAAAGATTTCAGTTATCTGTTTGGATTGGTATTGCTTTTATGTCCATCATCTTTTTCATGTTGAATTGAATATAGTCTAATGTTAATTATGTTTTATGAATATGTCCTGAAGATGGTCTATTAGACCGAAACGTCCAACGTTGACATTAAACATTAAAACAGCATAATCGCATATTAGGATTTTTTTTTTTTTTTTTTTTTATATTTTTTTTGATATTGTCGGATCTATATCCATATATTTGCTTACACACACACACACACACACACACACATATATATATATATATATATATATATATATATATATATATATATATATATATATATATATATAAAGTGAAATTGAAGTCAAAACTCAGAGGCGACAAGCTGTTTCATGCTAGACGCAATCGTCAGACCGCCTTGCGTCTAGCATGAAACACACTCACACACACACTCACACACTCTCACACACACACTCACACACACACAGACACACACACACACACACTGAGTGTTGACTTCAATGTTCGCATTTATATTTACACTCTATCTCTGATATTGAGCCCTTTATCCCATAAATATAGCACGCCTTAAAACTATATTTCCTTATACATATATATATATATATATATATATATATATATATATGTTATCCCTCACCACTAGCACCACTTGGAGTTTCATGCACAACGCAGTCTTCAGTTGCTAACTATGGAATAAACGTTAAGTATTTTGAATTTTTAAAAAAAAATATCGGGCATCGGAATGCTGAGCTTAAAGTATTTTTTTGTTTTTTTTTTATATTTGGCATTTAAAATAAACCCGGATTTGTACACGTGTAAAGAAAATATTTTTTTTTTTTATCTTTGAGTTACAAATATCCATTTTTAATTAAAGGTAGATTTCTCATTTTTATTTAAAAAAAAATAACAAGCTCTGATTTATATAAAAAAAAAATTATATTAAATATGTAAACAGGAATTTACATTAAAAATACCCCTTAATTTCCGTTAAAAATTATTATGGATCAACGTATTTAACCAGATATTTATTTTTAGGCTTACATGTTACCATCAATTCATTTCTCTTGTTTAATAAGCACGGATTATTTAAGTGCTTTAAAATAACCAGTTTTTTTTTTTTCCGTTATAAAACAAAATGACCCTTAACAATAAGAAATATGCAAATGCCACTCTCAAAATTTTACTGGGATATTAAAACAGATGACTACACACCGGTAATAAATTGAGATTTCGTTGTCAAAATTACACCCTTTCCCGGCCGCAGCGACCGATGCGACCTGTGTTTGCTGGAGAAAAAGAATTATCCTCAAAAATATGAATGACTTAAATCTGTTTAATAAACGAAATGAATTAATGTTATGTTGTAATCACAGAAAAAGATTTCTCTTAAAATATTTTAATTTTGCATAAATATATTATCCAAATTTCACTTTTCCTTTCCATATTTTAGTTTATATATTGATTGCTCCATTTTAATCATTTTAATGTATATCATCAATATATAACTTTAAACTTGCTTTTAATTTTTCAATTTTTTTATAATGGCCCGCTATCACATCCCTATTTACTGTATTTACACCCCAATTTAACTTATATTAGATTTGAGATGTGAAAATGGGTTAACTTTAGCGTTCCTCCTATGAGGTCCAGTATGTTATTTTTTTTTTAAATCATAAGGAATATTTCGTGCCTGATGAGTTGGTAAAACAACGAAACGCATTTGTGTGTCTATGTTCGTATGAGTGGCGTCCCGAGGAGAAGAATTTTTCCTCCCGCTAACATCAAACACCGATATGCACAACCATAAATAGATTTCAAAAATAATCAATATGTCTGATGATCGCAAAGAGCATGAAACCCAGGGTCACAAACTCAGATCTAAATATGTTAGCTCTATCACTGATATTGAGCGCTCTCCAATAGGTAACATGCTTATATAATATATAAATAATATATATAAAAATTATATATATGTATATATATATATATATATATTATAAATTAATTGATTTAAAATATGGTTGTTTTTCGCTACACAGTTCTAACCATGTTTCAAAAATGGAAGCTAAAAGCCACGAATTTAATTTTGCAATTAAATTAAAGACATTAGTTCCATTTCATCCTCAAGCGAATTTTGGAGTAACTTTTAAAATTACTGGGTTTTAAAGACAGCTAAAATCACGTTTCCATGGTTACAGATAAATCTACTTCAACTGGACAAGGGGTGTCTGGGTTTTCCTTATGTCTGTATCATTGTATCGGTTATTAGCTACATTTTGGTAAGGGGTAGGGATGTATTTTTCAATGAAAACTGACATCGTTAAATGCATGTCGTCTGGATATATATAAAAAACAGAAGATGTCTATGTGCGTGTGTATGTTTGCTATCTATGCACGCCCATATTTCTCGACTGATTTCGATGAAATTGTACACATATGTTGCAAATTTATTAATATAGGCCAAGACCAACTTTTCAATCTCCGGACCCCTTGGATTTGACAGAAAAATCGATAAAACTGAAGATGGGTATGACAGCCAAAGTTTCCCGCATTTTTTTTTTTTTTTTTACTGGATTAGCTGATGTTCTTCGCATGTAATGCAAAACATGGCTCCTGTTACGAGGTTTATGTAAAGTGCTTGATAGTTTTCTTGCGACTTTGGCTTCACACAAAAAATTACAAAAACTGTGAAAAATCAGGGTTTTTCGTATTACTTAAAATAAAAACTTGAATAACTTTCTCATTTTTATCCAATTTTCTTCAAACACGTCGCAAAAAAATTGCCCTCATATAAGATATAAGGCGGTGTGTTTTTAATCCTGTTAGCTTCCCAGGATATAACGATCGTCCTGGGTATGACGATAAACTATATCCGCGTCCTGGGTAAGACAATAAACTACGTCCAACAGCAAGGCCTCTGATCAGGTGGTTTTGAGGAGCGTGGAACCACCTTTTAATTGCTTGTGTTCCCAGGTCCACTTTAACCCGGGGTGGTAGCACCTGTTAGGGTCCGAGCTATGGGCAAATAGTTAAAACCCAAACTTGTGTAAAAATAGGTTTTAATACCAGAAATGCTTTGTAATAAAAAAATTATTACCAGCAATAATTTTGGAAGGAAAAATTATCAGCAATGTTTAAAAAAAAGAAATAGATTTTTGAAGAAAAAGCTATTGCCAGCAATAAAAATGTTGTCGTCATTAAATAACCCATTGACGTTGATATGCCGTAAAACAAAATAAACTAAAACCAAAGAATACATATTCTATTCATACCAATGTATTCTAAAAACCTTGTCGGTTTTAAATAACCCATTCATGTTGAGATGCTGTAAAACAAAACAAACGAAAATGGTATGAATCCACTTCTTCCTCCAGCTATGGGTAAATAGCTGTACATTCTGGTTTCTATAGAATTGGATGGCATCTGGACGAGCAGAAGGACAACTCTGAATTCAAAACCTGCGGAGGGTCGTTTGGGGACCAGGTCTCTGTATTCGGCCCTTCAAAAAGTGTGGATGGTTCTGCACAAAACCTTCGCCACTATAATCAAATCTCATGTGCTGGTGTCGGATGTCTATTCCTAGGAACTGATCTTCTTGACCACCCATACGTCGAATTCGACGGCAGAGTCGAATATATATATATATATATATATATATATATATATATATATATATATATATATATTATTATTATTATTATTTATTATTATAGTTATATATTACGCTGTTATTACAGCTTTTGAATTTTAAAATTATATTTGGCAATAAAGAGTAATACTTTTCAATCATAGAGAAGGAGATAGAGAGGGGAAGTGAAAGACAGACAGAAGATAGATAAATATATTGTTATTATTATTAATTTTATCATTATTATTTTTTATTATTGCTATTCAAACACTTTTTTAGTCGATACGCCTATTTTTTTTTTAAACATTGGTTATTCTGTCTACGGCCGGCGCATTTGAGAAAACATTCTTATAAACTTAATAATTATTCAAACCAACGTCCCTCTTTGCAGGGGGAACCACCATCTGATTCGGCTACAGACGTTTTCTATTTTTATTTCGTCTTTCTTCCTTTACACTCTCTCTTACTTACTTACTTTCCACACTTTCTTTCTTTTTTCTTTCTTTCTTTCTTTCTACTCTTTCATTTTTTTTCTTTCCACCATTTCTTTCTGTTTTATTTCCACGCTTTCATTCTTTTTTGCTCCTTACCATTCTTTTTCTTTCTTTCTTTCTTTCTTTCTTTCTTTCTTTCTTTCTTTCTTTACACTCTTTGATTCTTCCTATCTTTCTCCTCCGTTCTTTTTTCTTACTTTCTTTATACTCTTTCTTTCTTACTTGCCAGGCTTTCTTTCTTTTTTTTTTTTCTTTCCATACTTTCTTTCTTTTCCTTTCTTTCTTTCTTTTTACGATTTCATTATTTTTCTTTCACTCTTTCATTCTTTTTTCTCTCTTTCTTTCCAAACTTTCTTTCTTTTTCCTTTCTTTCGACATTTTCTTTCTTATTTCTTTCCACCCTTTCGTTCTTTTTTCTTTCTTTTATTTCACACTTTCTTTTTTTCTTCCCACTCTTTCATTATTTCTTTCTTTCTTTTTTCTTTTTCTCCACTATTTCTTTCTTTTTTCTTTCTACTCTATCTTTTCTTTCTTTCTTTCTTTCTTTCTTTCTTTCTTTCCACTTTTTCTATCATTTTTCATTTTTCTACTCTTTCGTTCTTTTTCTCTCTTTCTATTTCTTTCTTTCTACTCTTTGTTTTTTACACTCTTTCTATCTTTCCTACTTATTTTCTTTTTCTTCACTTTGTTTCTTTAACGCCATTTCATTGTTCCGTTTTTTTCTTTCTTTCTCTCCTTCAGTCTTTCTTTCTGTCTTTTATCTCTTTTCATTTTTTCTCGATTTCGTCTTGTTATTGTTTTCCTCTCGCTCAATTTCTCCCTCAATTATCTTTCTTTCTTTATTTCTTTCCTTCTTTCTTCCTTTTTTCTTTCTTTCTTTCTTTCTTTATTTATTTTTTTATTTATTTCTCTCATCTTCATTTATTCTCTCTTTCGATTTTAATATATTCTCTTTATACCAGCGAATATATTGTTTTCTTTCTTTCTTTCTTTCTTTCTTTCTTTCTTTCTTTCTTTCTTTCTTAATATCTCGTTTGCTTTCTCCCCATTGTCATTCTACGTTTAACTTTCTTTCTTTATTTCTTTCTTTCTTTCTTTTTTCTCGAATCTTTTTCAGCATTTTTTACGTTTTATTTTATAATAGTTTTTCCTTCGTTTATCATTTCTTTGCTTTCTTTTACTTGCTTTCTTTCTTCCTTTCTTTCTGTTCCATTTGTTGGCTTCTTTATCTATTTCTATCTTTCTTTCTTTTCTTACTCTTTCTTTCTATTATTCTTTTTTCTTTCTTTTTTCATTCTTTCTTTCTTTCTTTCCTTTTTTTATTTTTATCTCTTTCGTTCTCGCCCTTGCTTATATTTTCTTTTCTTTCTTTTTTATTTCTTTCTTTCATTCATTCATTTTATCATTGAATTTTTTTTGTATTTTGATCACCGTCATCCCCCACCCCGCAGAATATTTTTTTGTTTCATCCTTATTTTCTTTCTGTTGTTTTATCTTTCTTTCATTCTTTATTTTTCACACCTCTTTTTAATTTTATCTTCGCCATTCTTTCCTTCGATTAACTTTTCCTTCTTTTTTCTTTGTATGTTTGTTTCTCTCTTTCGTTTCCATGCCTTTTTATTTCCTTCATTCTTTCTTTTCGCTTATCTTTTCTTTCTTTCTTTCTTTCTTTTTTTCTTTCTTTCTTTCTTTCTACTCCATTCCTCTTTTTTTCTGTTTTTATCATCGTCATTTTCTCCATCACTTCAGTTTGCTATTTTTCTTTCTCTGTCATTCTCTCTTTCACTTATCATTTTACATTCTTTCTTTCTTTCTTTCTTTCTTTCTTTCTTTCTTTCTTTCTACTCAACTCTTTTTTGCATTTTTATCTCCGTCATTCTCTCCATCGCTTTTGTTTTCTTTTCTTTCTTTCTTTCTTTCTTTACTACACATCATTTTTTGCTTTTAGCCCTTTCATTCTCTCTCTCGTTTATCATTTTTTCTTTCTTTCCTTCTTTCTTTCTTTTTCTTTTTCTTCTTTCTTTTCTTTTCTTTTTTCTTCTTTTTTCTTTCTTTCTTTCCATTCCATTTTTTTGCAGTTTTATCTCCGTCATTCTCTCCATCGCTTTTGTTTTCTTTTTCTTTCTTTCTTTCTTTCTTTCTTTCTTTCTTTCTTTCTTTTTCTTTCTTTACTACACATTATTTTTTGGTTTTAGCCCTTTCATTCTCTCTCTCGTTTATCATTTTTCTTTCTTTCCTTCTTTCTTTCTTTCTTTCTTTCTTTCTTTCTTTCTTTCTTTCTTTCTTTCTTTCTTTCTTTTCTTTCTTTTTTTTTTTCTTTTCTTTTCTTTCCATTCCTTTTTTTTTCAGTTTTATCTCCGTCATTCTCTCCATCGCTTTTGTTTTCTTTTTTTCTTTCTTTCTTTCTTTCTTTCTTTCTTTCTTTTTTTTTTTTTCTTTTCTTTACTACATTTTTTTTTTGGTTTTAGTTTTCATTTCTCTCTCTCGCTTATCATTTTTATTTTTCTTTCTTTCTTTCTTTCTTTCTTTCTTTCTTTCTTTCTTTCTTTCTTTCTTTCCATGGCTAGCTTTTTGTTCCTTGCATTCTTTCTTTCTTTCTTTCTTTCTTTCTTTCTTTCTTTCTTTCTTTCTTTACTACACATCATTTTTTGCTTTTAGCCCTTTCATTCTCTCTCTCGTTTATCATTTTTCTTTCTTTCCTTCTTTCTTTCTTTCTTCTTTTCTTTCTTTCTTTCTTTCTTTCTTTCTTTCTTTCTTTCTTTCTTTCTTTCTTTCTTCTCCATTCCTTTTTGCAGTTTTATCTCCGCCATTCTCTCCATCGCTTTTGTTTTCTTTTTCTTTCTTTCTTTCTTTCTTTCTTTCTTTCTTTCTTTCTTTACTACACATCATTTTTTGCTTTTAGCCCTTTCATTCTCTCTCTCGTTTATCATTTTTCTTTCTTTCCTTCTTTCTTTCTTTCTTTCTTTTCTTTCTTTCTTTTTTTCTTTCTTTTCTTTTTTCTTTCTTTCTTTTTTCTTTCTCCATTTTTTTTTTGCAGTTTTATCTCCTCCATTCTCTCCATCGTTTTTTCCTTTTCTTTTTTCTTTTTTCTTTTTTCTTTCTTTCTTTCTTTCTTTCTTTCTTTCTTTACTCCACATCATTTTTTTGCTTTTTAGCCCTTTCTTTCTCTCTCTCTCGTTTATCATTTTTCTTTCTTTCCTTCTTTCTTTCTTTCTTCTCTTTCTTTTCTTTCTTTTTCTTTCTTTCTTTCTTTCTTTCTTTACTACACTTCCTTTATTATTTTTATCTCCGTCTTTCTCTCCCTCGATTACATATCCCTTCTTTTTCTTTTATTTGTTTCTTTCTCTTTCGTTTCCACGCCATTTTTTTATGACAAATATCTTCATCATTCTCTTCCTCGCTTATCTTTTCCTTCTTTCTTTCTTTCTTTCTTTCTTTCTTTCTTTCTTCTTCACTCCTTATTCCCATCCTCATTTACCGTCTTTCTTTGCTTGTCTCTCTTCTATCTTCGTCTGCTTAATGATAATTGCTCGTTATACTTTTTACCGTTTTTCCGTTTTGATCGAGACGCAAATGGAGAAATCACTTTTTTTGTTATCAGCGCCCCCTAGCGGCATCGTATGTCTATAATTGGAGCTTCATCAATGGAGGTTCATTATTTGATAAAGATTCATTAGTAGTGTCAAGTATGATTATCAGAGCCCAATATGTCCGTCGATCGAAGGCTTTTTATCCTCAATACACATCTAGTTCCCCCTTTAGACATCGTCACAATCGTAACAACAATGAAAGTAATAAACTCTAACTATGAATACAACATCTACTGATATTACAAGCGTGACTAACAACGTTGCTACTACGATTATTACGACCACTATATTTATAATAGACAAAATGCTAAGATTGTTAATAATGCATCTATTATTATTGCTGAGGCCAGGGGTTCGTAAAAATGTTTTCATTTTCTTTTTCATTGGATTTTTTTTTTTGGCTTATTTCTTTCTTTCTTTTTCTTTTTTTTTTTTTGTATTTTCGTTTCCTTCCCTCTTTTTTCTATTCGTGTTTTTCTTTACATCCATCAACGCGGAAATTTCATTTCTTTTTTTCTTCTTTGTCTACAGGTAGCTTCTATCTTTATTTGTTTCTTCCATTTTCCTTCTTCCTGCTTATTAGAACATTATTATTCGTCCATTTTCCCTATAGTTAATCTTCTTTCTTTAATATTTGTATTATTATCATTATTATTATTATTATTATTATTATTATTATTTCATTGGTATTAGAGTACCACGACGTGGTACACTAATACCAATGATATAATAAGGTGACTCTGGCTGACCATTATTACTGAATAACTATTTCGATCCTCTTTGGGTAAATCATTAAAAAAAATTCCCCACGCAAAAAAAAGTATTAATATATCATAAAATCAAACAAACTATACATTTTGGTGTGGAGTAATTGTTAGTCTGTTTGTCAATTACTTCTGAGTAGAATGTTCGGTCCTCACTAGCAACCCAATGCAAAATTATTCATTCACTATCACCACAAGGTTGACATTTCGTAAAATCGACAGACCAAACATTTAGTTAGTTCGTTCAGCATTACGACTAACAAGCAATTTCGATTTGGGTCTGTCACTGGATCGAACCGACGCACAGTGGATAAAGGCGTTGGTTAGATCCAGTGACAGACCCAAAGAGTGTGAGTTCAATACCCGATTAAGGCAATGGAGAACTTTCAGAGGGAAAATTAGCAGGAGGTAACTGATAACTGACATCCATCAAACATGGCACGTGGAACTAGAACAGTCTACCCCAGTGATCGAAATAAAGGGTTCAGTTCTAAATTCCAACCACCTGAAGAAGGCCGGAGCGTACAACGGCCGAAACGTTGTGACAAATATGGCGACAAAGATGAGGACAATAGTCAGACTAATGTAAATACTGGACATAATACCTCATCTCAGAAATATAGACAGACTCTGAGATTAGTCTGGTTGGGCATTAATACTGTGTAGTGAGTTCAATCCCAACCGGGTGCCTCATACAAAATTCGTCATTAAATAATCCGACATACCGTAAAATCGACCAACCAAACATTTTTGTTACAGACAATAAATAGTGAGGCTCGTTCCGTTGACCATGGCTACTATAAAGCGGTTTCAGTCTCCATTAAATGCATCAAGCAAAAAATGATCATTAAATAACTTAACCTTGCATGGAATATTGCTGTCATATATGGTCTGGTGCCTCCGCTGTACGCCTCGAGGCCCTCGACAAAATCCAAAGACGAATATGCAATGCGATAGGTGCTGATCTGGCATCTCATCTACGGTCGACGTGCCGTGACTTCCCTCTGTCTCTTCTGCAAGTATTTTCACGGCAACTGTTCCGAAGAGCTACTTTCGCTGGTTCCCAGACTGCTATTTACATTGAACTCCTTGATAAAATCCAAAGAAGAATAAGCAATATTATTGATCCTGATATGGCGGCTCGGATTTAGTCACTTTCCCACCGCCGTAAGGTTGTCTTCCATTGCAATTTCTATAAATACTTTCATGGTAACTGGCAGGATGAACTCTTCGCTTTGCTTTGTTATTGCATTCCCCTTCTCCACCCGGGGGACAATGAATAGGGACTAGTTAGGACTTTAATGGAGACAATGAGATATTATGGTGATTGTAGTAAGAAAGGTACGTAAGAATACGTTGTTTTGGTGTAAGGAATAGTGTCGTATGTTTGGGTCAGTGTTTGTGTCTAGATACGTTTAATGTTAAGACAGACGAACACCGTTCATTTCCCCATTCTCAATTTTGGCCACATTTTGTAAATTTTAAAAGTAAATATTGCTCTTCGCTATGGTTAATTTAGCTAGGGTTTGTATGTTCATTGACCCTTTGTTATTTCTGCCCCACTTTCTTTAGTTTAATTCCCCCTCCCCTCATCTTTTAGGTGACCAGAGATGTCAGTTCTCTGGTGGATGTGGGACTCCTTTCGTATTTCGTTTCTTCTTTTTCCTATTTATTGTTGTGTTTGAATGAATGTGTGGTTGAGTGAGTGATTAGACGAATCAGCGTTTTATATTATTAAAGCTTCGTATAAATTTCCTCCCGTTAACTGATGTTTCTGCCACATTTAAGGATTTTGATTTTTTTTTATTACTAAGATTATTTTGTTTAGTTTCTTGTATATAATTTTGTTTCACATTTGTAAATATCCATAGGCGTTTAGATTTTTAAAAATGGTTATTTTATTCCCCTCCCGCAACAGACAATAAATTGTACATATGGGGACTAGTTAGTATTTCATAGTGACAACGAGGTATTATGATGGATGTAGTATGAAAGGTAAGAATGTGTTGTTTTGGTGATAGGAATATTATTGTATATTTGGGTCAGTGTTTGTGTCTAGATTAGTTTAATGTTAAGACAGACGAAGACCGTTCATTTCCCCATTCCCAATTTTGGCCTTGTGCCACATTTTGTAAATTTTAAAAATAAATATTGCTCTTCGGTATGATTAATTTAGCTAGGGTGTGTATGTTCATTGACCCTTTTTTATTTCTGTCCCCACTTTCTTTGGTTTAATTCCCCCTCCCCTCCTCCTTTAAATGACCAGAGATGTCAGTTCTCTGGTGGATGCGGGACGCCTTTCGTATTTCGTTTGTACCTTTTTCCTATTTAGTGTGTGACTAAGTGAGTGAATGGACGAATGAGCGTTTTATATTATTAAAGCCTCGTATAAATTTCATCCAGTTAACTGATGCTTTTGCCATATTTAAAGATTATGGGTTTTTTTATTACTAATATTATTTTATTTGGTTTCTTGTATATAGTCTCGTTTTACATTTGTAAATATTCATTGGTATTTATGTTTTTAAAATTGTTGTTTTATTCCCTCTCTCCACCCAAAGGACATTAACTGGACATATGTGGAGTGGTTAGGACATTCATAGAGACCATGAGGTATTATGGTGAATGTAACAAGAACAGTAAGTATGAATGCGTTGTTCTAGCATAAAGAATATTGTTGTATGTTTGGGTCAGTGTTTGTGGCTACTTAAGTTTAATCTTAGAACAAAGAAAACAGTCCATTTCCGTATTTCCCAATTTTTGGCGTTGTGCCACATTTTGTATTTTACAAATCAATAATGCTCTTTGCTATCGTAGCTAGACTATACGAATTTATGCCCAGTACTCGATTGACAACAAGGTCTCATCAATTTACAGTTGATCGTTGATTTACTTTTGGTGGCATATCAACACATCGATGGGTTATTTAATACCGAAATCTAAATATTTTGTACGTAACTTTATGCTTTCATCTACAAATATTGAGTGACAGAACTAATTTCAACTCGTAACTAATTTGAAGTCGGAACTAATTTCACCTCAGAATTAATTTCAAATCGGAAAAATTTCAACTCGCAATTAATTTCAACTCGATTCAAAATAAAAGTTATCAATTTCCGTGAATTCCTAAACGAAATGCAATCAGTTGGCGTTAATTTTTTTAATTTAGCATTAAAAATCCTTAGCAGATAATTCAGAATTCATCTTTTCTGCAACTTTCATTCTTTTTTTGTTGCAAATGAATAAAGTGGCACTTCTTTATTTAATTTTATTCATTTAAGCCTGATCCAATAAAAATGCAATGTTCTTTGTAGCAAGAAAAGTAGATTGCTTTTGAAATTAATTCCGAGTTGAAATTAATTGCGAGTTGAAATTAATTCCGAGTCGAAATTAGTTCCGAGTTGAAATTAATTCCGAGTTGAAATTAGTTCCGAGTTGAAATTAATTCCGAGTTGAAATGAGTTCCGAGTTGAAATTAATTGCGAGTTGAAATTAATTCCGAGTCGAAATTAGTTCCGAGTTGAAATTAATTCCGAGTTGAAATTAGTTCTGAGTTGAAATTAATTCCGAGTTGAAATGAGTTCCGAGTTGAAATTAATTCCGAGTTGAAATTAATTCTGCACCCCAAAATATTTTGTCCATAATTTTATATTTTCAGGATAAAGGTATGTTTTCAGATATATATTTTGTAAATCATAAATTATATTGTTGATATTTTCACTATATGTTATGAATAATCAAGAGCTATTGAAAGAGCTATTTCTGTTTACTGGACTATAAAAGGACACTGTACGCGAACCTTGTATTCGCAGTTGAATAAAGCTTTCTTAAAGCCTACCATTACGTACCTCTGTCATTACAATGATATCAATATGACAAACATATATGTATTTGCCTTTCCAAGAAGCAAAGCAAAGTTATGCATGTTTTAGTTTGTGTCATTGTGTTTCAAGTAAATAATGTTTCATTTTAGTTCAGAATGTCTAAATCTTAGAAATCTTTATAAAGCCATTATTTTAATTTTCTAGATGTTACGACTTCTAAATAGTTTCATAAACTGAAAGGATTGTTATGAATAATCAAGAGTGGTCTCCCCCTGTTTTGAAACTCTCCTCTTTGAGAGAGCTATTTCTGTTTACTGGGACTATAAAAGGTCATTATACGCGAATCTTGTATTCTAAATTCAATAAAGCTTCCTAAAAGCCTACGCCTGCGTATTTTTGTCATTCATTTTTTACATTACATCAATGTCGCATTGATCGTCATTTTGCTATAAAAATATATTGTCGATTATTTTAATTTTTAAAAAATGCTATTGATTTTCGTTTGGAGGTTTACTATTTTGCCCATAACTGGGTCCCTAACAAGTGCTACCAGCCGGGTCAGGCAGAAAGAATAAAAACAATTAAGAGGCGAATCCACGCTCCACAAACAGACGATTTTTATCAGAATAAATTTGATAAAAATCAAATTAATTTTGATAAAAATCGCCTGATGATACTGTAAGTTTGAAAATCGTCTGAGGATACGGTATATATATATATATATATATATATATTATTAATAGAAATCTTATAAGTATAAGAACCTATACTCGTTCGGAAAACCTTCGGTATATTGATTTGCAAATAAACAAGCCAATACCAAAGGGGAAAAAAAGGATAAAAAAAAAGAAAGGACCAAGAACATGTATGTTAACCGAAAATAATCGTTCAGCATGCGAGTTCAAGGGCCAAAGAAAAAAACCCCGATGCTAGTTTGCAAAACAAGTAAATAAAGTGAAATGAGTAGTGCAGACTAACTAGGCCTTCCCTGACGATCCGCTTAAGTGAAACCTTGGTAGATTTGTCTGGCTCTCTAGGTTTAACTAACTAACTAACTAACTAAATATATATATATATATATATATATATATATATATATATATATATATATATATATATACAAAGAAATAATCACGCATAGAGTCAATCAGCAATATTAATGCTATTATTGGCGACATCCATCGCTAGTAGAATATAATGTATACCTTAAAATACTGTTAATCCATAAAATGATGTGATCCTCATTCATAAAACTGTTGTCTGTTGTTTCCAGTTTATATTTTTTTTTAAAGGCAAGTACTTTCGAATTATCCTTTATTCATCGTCAGGCATATTTTTTTTTTTTTTTTTTTTTTTTGTTTTTTTTGTATGTGCTATTATTGACGGTTGTATACAATATCGGAACATGCTAAGACGCAACGCTAAGTTTTTCAAAATTTTAAGTGAGAATTTTATTTGAACTTTTCTTGTGATTTGGTAAATCCACGTATTCTATTTTACAAGTGTTTTCAGTAAATATGTCATGAACTAAGTATATAATTCAATTAATATAGTGTTATGTCTTAGTAGTAGTTTTTTTTTATAGGAATTTTTTGTACTGCGGATCAATAGTTTTTATAAACATAAAACATTAGGCAGCATATAATTTATATACAAAGAAATAATCACGCATAGAATCAATCAGCAATATTTATATATATATATATATATATATATATATATATATATATAAAGAGAGAGATAGAGATAATATCAAATCCGTGAGTGGAAAGGGATAATCCAAGCAGGTATTTTTTAATATAAAATATTAAAAAGATAGGTCCATAAAGAGAGTCTAAATTTATTTTGACGGGTAAATTTTAACACCCATCTCATCAGACCGAAATTACAAATGCTAATTGTAATTTCGGTCTTATTTTTCTTATAATTTTATAATTTTTCCTTGATTATATATATATATATATATATATATATATATATATATATATATATATATATATATATATCATTGTGTTTACATCTTCATCTAACTTGGCGCCTAGCAAATCTCTTATTACAAACGCCTACTCATATGTATTACTTCAAACGTTATTATTTATCGCATACCCATATTTTAGTAGACGCCCTGATTTTTTTAACAGTTTTTATATCGTCTACAGGCCTGCCTTTATATACGACGGGGTAAGGTGATACCACAGATATTCAACATTACGACAGGTAATGGATTTATCACAGGTTATAATATTATATTTTATATACGACTGGTTATGGAGATACTACATTTTATAACATTATGATTTAATTAATTATGAAAAGTTAGGACTGCTATTTAGTTTCATTATAGTCTTTGGAATAAGTCTTAATTTTTTTTATTCTTAATCTACACATTTTGAAAATTGATTAGAAAAGGACACAATAATATCTCATCTGTTTTTTTAAGAGCATAACTTTTTCTATTGTTTTCAGAGCTTCTGCTCGCTTCATTTTTAAACAGATATTTATAACATTTACTAACGAGATACCGGATCACTTTTCACAGTAAATATATAAAAATGGAAAGTGGTGTAAGACAATGATGCGTCTTCTTACCGGACTTAAGGCCATTCTGTGAGAATTAGAAGTCATACCAGGTTTCATCAATGGTGGTCACACAAGCAACATAAGATATGCAGATGGTACAGAAAGGAAACTGCAAGAACTTTTTCAACAGGTTAGTGAAAGAAAGCAAGAATAAAGGACTAATTATCAATTGCAAGAAGACTGAATACATGGTTGTTAGCAAAAGCAACAGCCCCCACATGCAAATTACAAATCGCAGATAACGAAATCAATCGAGATTAGAAGTTTATGAACAGAGGACAGAAAGTGTGACACGGAAATCCGGAGGCACATTGGAATAACGAAAGATGCCTTCCAAAATCTGAGCAAAGTATTAAGAAAGTGAAAAATATAGTCAGTACTGGTTATGTAGTACCAGTCGAACTCTATGGAAGTTAATGCTGGACAATCTCCTCACAGTATTAAATATTAGTTTAGTAGACTTTAGAGGAGGGGTATCTTGGCTCCGACTTCCTGAGGTTGATATCCGGGGTCAGATGCGAGCCATAATAGGGAAGTCGATTTTGATTAGCTGAAAAATAGATAGGAGAATGGTTTCAGCGAGTTGGTTCTTATCCGACAAGCGACGTTTTCTATTTCGTCTGCGAAATGGCACCCCAGCGAGGGGTCGACCCCCTCTCATTGGATCGTTAGATAATCTACAAGTCGACATGAGTAATACAAATAGTTAAGTTAAAATTCTCTGTTTGAAGCCTTTCATTGCCAAACCAAAACAATTAGCGATTGTCGGCCGAGAAAGGACGAGATGAGACCCCACACACACACACACCAGGAGGCTATGCAACAGAAGAAGAGACTTAAAGCAACAAAAATGAGGTTCTACAGGAGGATACTGTGAATACTTTGGACCGAAGTTCTAGAGGAAAATGGCAACAAAGAGGACACTTATGCTTAACACCCGCAAGAGATAGTTGAAATTTCTGGGACACATATGGAGAATGATGGCTAGGTCCCAACCCCTTACTGTCGAAACAGTTAAATGCAACCACGACTTCTACTCCAACAGGTTCTTCTCTCGCACTTCCTGACTGAGAAATTCCTTTCCGCTTGATTGTTTCCCTGTCAACTATAACCTTTAAAAATTTAAATGCAATGTCAAACGACATTTTTTTATGTCTTCATCCCCGTTCCCCCTTTTATCATTCCCTATACCCTTATTTACACTCTGTAACCCCTTGCGTACTAGTGGCACACCCGCCTTGCTTAGAGTTAAATGCTTAATAAATATATGGAATGGATCTACACCTTTATATCCACATTATAATTACTTGTTTGTTTATTGACTAGGTATTCTGACTAGGTATGAATCAAGCTTTCCTCCCGACCTAGGAATGGGTTAATTCGACTTGTATCACTAAACCATTATTATATTCAAAACGTTCTTAATACGAATGGTTTGGGGCTTTAAATAACCGGCAATGTGTTGGTAAGCCGTAAAAAATATTTCAATCAATCAATATTTTGTTTTTATTATGATTCTGTTTTTATCATTTTTTTTTATGTATTATTGATTTTCGCTTTTTTTTTATTCTTTTGGCAACAATTTTTTTTCTTTCTGTTCAGTTTTACGCTTTTAACTTTCTATCCTTTTTTTAACTTTCATTTTTTAACTTTCTTTCCATCTTTCCTTCTTTTTTTTTAAATTTCTTTCATCATTTCCTTCCTTTTATTAACTTTATTTCCTTCTATTTTTTAACTCTATCCTTCTTTCTTTCCTTTTTTAACTTTTTTTCCTTCTTTTTTTTAACTCTGTTCTTCTTTCCTTCCTTTTTTAACTTTTTTCCTTCTTTTTTTAACTCTGTTTTTCTTTCCTTCCTTTTTTTAACTTTCTTTCTTTCCTTTTGATTAACTTTCTTTCTTTCTTTCCTTCCTTTTTTCTTTTTACTTCATTGATATAATTTTTCTCCGTATATTTGCATGAAGGATAACTCTTTGTTTGTTTGTTTGTTTGTTTCTTTTTTTCTTTCTTTCTTTCTTTCTTTCTTTCTTTCTTTCTTTCTGTCTTCCTTTCTTTCTTTCTTTCTTTCTTTCTTACTTACTTACTTACTTTCTTTCTTACTTTCTTTCTTTCTTTCTTTCTTACTTTCTTTTTTTCTTTCTTACTTTCTTTCTCCCTTTCTGTCTTTCTTTCTTTCTTTCTTTCTTTCTTACTTTCTGTCTTTCTTTCCTTTCTTTCTTTCTTTCTTTCTTACTTTCTTTCTTTCTGTCTTTCTTTTTTTTTTTCCTTTCTTTCTTTCTTTCTTTCTTACTTCCTTTCTTCCTTTCTTTCTTACTTTCTTTCTTACTTTCTTTCTTTCTTTCTTACTTTCTTTCTCCCTTTCTGTCTTTCTTTCTTACTTTCTTTCTTTCTTTCTTTCTTTTTACTTTCTTTCTTTCTGTCTTTCTTTTTTCTTCCTTTCTTTCTTTCTTTCTTTTTTTCTTACTTCCTTTCTTCCTTTCTTTCTTGCTTTCTTTCTTTCTTACTTCCTTTCTTCCTTTCTTTCTTTCTTTCTTTCTAACAGTTTCTTTTTCTTTTTTGCCCATCTTGTTCATTTATTTATTATTTTTACCTAAAATTCTTTGATGTTTTTGATTCTATTTTCCTTTTTCTTCCTTTTTCTTCTATTTTATATTATTTCGAGGTCCAATTTTTTTATTAAAGACATTTTTTTTATATTTATTATTTTTATTTGTATATATATATATATATATATATATATATATATATATATATATATATATATATATTTGTGTGTGTCTGTGTGTGTGTGTGTGTGTGTGTAAATATATATATAAGTGTGTGTGCGTGTGTGTATGTTCGGTGTTATAAATATATAGGGTGCGATGTATAAATTGTCTTTTATTCAGTATGAGTTTTTCACTCACACTTTCTCACTTTCACACTCCCCCTCTACTTCCTCCCTTTCTCCCTTTTACTCTTTCAACCCTTCCTTTTCACTCTCTCTTTCAAAATATCACACGCTTTTCTCTTTCTCATTTTTCTCTCTTTTCCCACTCTCTTTTTTCATCTCTTTTTCCCCATATCTTTCTTTAACTTTTAATTTCCAGCGATGCGAACTTAAAAATGTCTCCAATTACAAACATGGCTGCTTTATAATAAATTCTATAGTCAGAAGAAAATGTTTTTTGCTATAAGCATCAGTTATTTCCTTATAAGGTATCATATTTTCACAAATATATATATATATATATATATATATATATATATATATATATATATATATATATATATATATATGCAGATAATAAATATATTTGCACATATACATTGTGTGTACACACCTATATTCATCGAGAACATTTATATATTTCAATATATATGTACATATATTCAATACCTATGTATTTATCGTACCCTCCAGTCAGTTCAATTGTATATTTCTTGCTTATTGTAATTATATTTCTTTATAGTCTGTACTTATGAACTGCTTTTTTTATCTACCGTTAAGAATGGCTTCGTTTCGTTTCGACTCAGATCGTTCCGTTTTCACACGTTTTATTTTCTATTTACCATTCCATATTCCCGAAGCGGCGTTGTTGTTTCGCTTTCATTTTTTTCTTTTTTCTCATTTTTATATATCTATTTACATGTCATTCCCGTTTTGATAATAACACTATCAGCGAAAATATATTACTTTCGTTTCTCTCCTCCAATTTATGCAAGTATTTTGTTTGTTTTGGCCTCCTTCATTGTCCCCCGACCTAAAAATAAATAGATAAATAAATAAAAATAAAATAAAATAAAAATTGCAGCACTTCTCCTGCTTCGCGCCAAAACCAAATCCAAAACTAAACTCATTTTTACTTACCGACGCGTTAAATCAGACGACATCTTTGAAGGAGACGATTTTTATTTCAAACCCCAAATAATCCTCTTCACAACATAGAAAAAGAAAACAACTACATGTCGAATTTAGAAGTGACCTCCCACGTGACAGCTCAGGTACTACTTCCGGTAAGAAAGAGAAAGATCAAAATTAAATGTAATCGGGTGTAACGGAAAGAAGGCGACATTTTATTCTTGCATATTGTTAATGGAACTGACATTAAAAACATCAGCTACACATGATGAGCCCATATTTCGTGGTACTTTTGAAAATATTCGATATATTCCGTCTTTATACGTATGTGTGTGTGTGCGTGCGCGCGCGCATTCGTGTGTGTGTATAACATGAAGAATTATGAATATGAACACAAAAGTGACCTTATACATAATACTTCCATGTATATATATATATATGTGTGTGTGTGTGTGTGTGTGTGTGTGTGTGTGTGTGTGTGTGTGTGTGCGCGCGCGCCTAAGTGGAAGTTGAAGTCAACACCCTTAGGCGACAGTCTGTTTCATGCTAAATGCAACCATCAAACACTCACTGTCTACTTTTATATTTACTTACGTTCTATCCATGATATTGAGCAACAACCCATAGCATACCTTAAAACTATATTTTATTATATATATATATATATATATATATATATATATATATGATAATATTAATGCACAATACACACACACACACACACACACACACACACACATATATATATATATATATATATATATATATATATATATATATATATATATATATGTCCAAGAGGATAAAAAGCCACGTAGAGCTCTATGTACAAGACAAAGCAAGAAAATGATATAAACGCTCAAACACTAATATTCCTTGGTTATAATTTATTACATTGAAATCGTAATCACGATCCAATTCATCAGACCTACAAATTCAAAAGAAAAACTTATATATATATATATATATATATATATATATATATATATATATATATATATATATATATATATATATATATGAAGAAATATAGTCGAGCCTGACGATTGCATCTAGCATGAAATAGACTGTCGCCTCTAAGTGATGACTTCTATGTTCACTTTTATATATATATATATATATATATATATATATATATATATATATATATATATATATATATATATATATATGAATAAAGACAAAAGGAAAACTTACTTTAGCCGACATGCTTCATCCTCTGATGGACTTCATAAAGGCAAATGTAAAGATTTTATTTTGTGACAAGTATTTATATAGAAGAGCTAAAATATTACTGTTTTTTCAGTTTTTTAGCTTTCAGAGTGCTCATGAATATTAATCAGATAAGATGAAAAGTCAGGCAAGTTTATCGGGGACTTGAGGTGATACATTTCAATGTCTAATAAACGAAAGGGAGTAGGTGATCTATATTCATGATAAAATGAAAGAACAAGTAGGAAATGTACATCAATCTAAAATGTTTTGCTTTTGTTAAAGCTTTGTCAGAGTTTGAGAAAAAAAACAGGCAAAGAAACAGAAAACACTGTTATCTTTCAATTATGTTTGCTTCAGTTCTCATTGGTCAGACACCTGTTACGTGAATTGAAACCCTGGATAATTCTATTTGGATGTAAGTTTGTGAAGATTCTTGTATGCCTAAGTGGCCAACGAATAATAATGTGTGCGTGTATCGGTCTAGTTGGAATTTTATCTTCACCTTTGTGCAGTGAACTCCCACGGCGGAGAGTCGCATGGTTCTAATTTATGGCTCGCCTATTTAAGAATGTATTCTTTGTATTAAATAGATATAAGTTAGAATTCTTAAGAATGGAGTCAAAGAAAGATGGCGATGTAATTTAAGGAGAAAACATATTCAAAACCTAATAATAACATTATTACCAATTATAAACACACGCTTAAAATATTATATTACATCGAGGAATAAAATAAGAGGAAAAGAACAAGAATTATCAAGACAGAAACTAACGATGGACATTGATTTGAACTTTTGAAGATAATGTTGATTAGAAAGCAAAGGAACCGGAAGAGAGTTCCACAAGCGAAAAGTGAGAGATAGGAAACTGTTAGCATAGAATTTGGGGTTGCATCTAGTTATTTCAACTGCCATATGGGGAGATGTACACCTCAATGTCGAGGAAATGACTCCAGAAAAATTACCATGGAAACGTTTATGGAAAAGACATGCACTCATACACACATATGCACACACACACAAACGTATACGCACATATATATGTGCGTATGTAAGTGTGTGCGCATATGCGTGTATGTATATATATATATATATATATATATATATATATATATATATATATATATATATATATATATATATATATATATATATATATATAGTTATCCACAGTCAGACTATTTCTCTGTATCACAACTCTTCAGTGTGGCTAGATTATTGCTTCAATCCGGGATCGAAACTCGACCGATCTGGCATCAGTCAGAGATTCTATCCCTTGGCTATCATCGCACGGGAGACAGAAAGGGAAATTATATATATAATATGATTATATGTATGAATGTGATATATATATATATATATATATATATATATATATATATATATAAAACAGGTTTTCAGTAACTTATTCCGATTTTAAATGTGAATTAATTTAAGCGTCTAATGATTTTTTTTCTTTTTCTTTCAGATTTTAAAATTTAATTTTAATTTTAAAATTTTAATTTTAATTGTAAAATTTCAGTCATGGAAAGATTAACAATCAGACAACGTGTAAAGTTATCGAAGTCTTTTCCGAAAATAGACGTTCAAACAGAATTTGAATGAAATGTTCCCAGGTCGCATCATCTCTCGAAACAACCAAGTCAATTGGTTACCATGATCGTGCGACTTGACACCCTTAGATTGCTTCCTTTAGGGTCATCTCAAAAGTAAGGTCTATGCCAACAAGCCAACAACAATCCAACAACTGAAGGATGAGATAATAATATGAACGAGGAGCAACTATGCAGAGACATCATCAAAAGTTTTGACCATCGACTGAAGGTGTGCCCCCGAAGCCTTGGCGGACAATTTGGGCGATATTATTTTTCACACATAATTGCCATGACTTAAATAATATGATCCAATAGAGAAATAAATAAATTTTCACTGATTTATTTACTGCTGACTTTGATCCGTCTTAATGAAACACCACACACACACATATATATATATATATATATATATATATATAATTTATAAAAGTGAACATAAAGTCAACACTTAGGGCGACAGTCTGTTTCATGCTATATGCAATCGTCAGGCCACATATGCTGTTATTTTTCTCGGCTATTTATATATATTATATGCATTGTGGGTATTCTATTTGGTTTCCCTGTCAACTATAACCTTTAAAAATTTAAATTTCAATATGTATTAAAAACTGTTCCGCCAAAAAAATAATAGTTAGAATGAACTACAACAACCAACCCCAAAATTGAACAAATAGCTTTAATTAAATTTACAAACCAAAACAAAACTGTTAAATACGTGATATAAACAAATTTTACTACGTTAATAAATAAATAAAGAAAAAAAAATAAAAATAAAAAAATAAAAACGAGCAATATTATTTGACCCAAATAAATAAACAAAGCTACTTCCGGTAAAAATAACCGCCATAATAGAATACCCACAATGCACCACTAACCCATATATATATAAATATAGAAAAATAACAGCATATGTGGCCTGACGATTGCATATAGCATGAAACAGACTGTCGCCTCTAAGTGTTGACTTCTATGTTCACTTTTATATTTACACACGCTCTATCTCTGATATTGAGCACTTTATCCCATAAATATAGCACACTTTAAGACTATATTTCTTTATATATATATATATATATATAATTATTTATATATATATATATATATATATATATATATTTAAAAATATAACATAAATAAGAATAGTAATTGTTGGTTATTAGAATTTATTCCGTATATACTAATCATATACTTATATATATATATATATATATATATATATATATATGACATAATAAATTGTTTTTTATACGGGAATGGGTTATCCGGTTTAATTCTGACAGCTCCGGAACAAACGATTTATGTTCATGTGTTTTTTCTATTTCCCTATTCTACATGTACAGGTCTTTTCTGTATTCGACAAACATTTAATTTACATATTTTATTTACACTTACTTTTCGTTTGTGATTTTGGTGTAGACAAATGATC